GGGGTGGTCTGACCATACTTGCCTCTTAGGTCACTTCCCACCTGTGTGGGTCTCAGGCCTCGCCCAGGTGCAGGGGCGGTGAAACAGACTGTTCCAAATGCCCAGGGGCGGACGGGTCATACCTGGCGTGCGGACAGAGTTCCGTCCATTTCACAGTCGCCGCTAATGGGGACAATGTGGTTTCCCGGGGCCTTGAAACCCGGAGAACCACGGGCTCTGGTGAACTGTGTCTTGTTTCCTTCCTGGTGTTTCCACAGGTTTGACCTGTCTGATAAGGATTCATTTTTTGACAGTAAAACCCGGAGTACGATTGTAAGTATCTCGCGCGCCTGGAAACGGCTCCCTGGCAAGGTGGCCCTGGGGATCCAGATGATAATTTCATTTTGGTGAAACTCCTCCCGGTGGAAACCGGCTCTAATTGTCTGTGACAGAAATAATTAGAATAATGAAAGGGAGAGGGCAGCGAGGGGCCCAGGGGATGGTCGTGCCCCAGGCTGGGGCAGCTCAGAGGAAGGGAATAAGCACAGAGCTCGGGAAAGCAGGAGGGAAGCCAGACCCCTGGAATGTTTTCAGAGGTCGGTGTTTCCGGATCTGTGCAGCTCTCAGCACATCTCTCAGAGCCTCTTCGTGGTGGGGTTGTGCATGCCTGACCATCAATCCACGACGCGGGGCTTTCGGGGCAGGCAGGTGTGGGCAGGAGGGAGGGGGTGATGGAGGCGAAGGCGTGTGGGTTGAGATCTCTTTCCAGGCCTTTGCCAGAGGAGCCAACTGAGGTTTGAAATCTGACCAGGCCACCCTGCCCTACTCAACGCACTGGCTCCGTGTTTATCCAACCTGTCCACCAGCCAAGCTAGGGCTGTGCATGGCTCAGGACCCAACTTCAATCTAAACAAGAAATTAACCCGGCAGCCAAACTGTTGCTGTTGTTCTCTCTTCCCCGCCCAGAAAGCCCAGCCTGGTTGGGCAGAGACAGAGAGCTGGGAGGAGGCAGCCAGGGTGACCTTGTCCAGATGACTGCTCCTCATGACCACCACCTGAGACTGGCAGGCAGCCAGCGGGAGGGTGGTGCAGGTCGCACCAGCACGGGGGGTTCTGAGCCACTGCTGGGACAGGCAGATCTGGGGCGGGGAGGAGGGGCTCTCTCTCCCAGAGACCCTGGAGGCCAGTTTCTACATGGCCAACATGCTCCAAAGAAACTGAGAATTCATGGCTTTGGCCTTGGTTAGTCGGGCCTAATAGTCATCAAAATCCAACAGCATGTAGGGTTGGCTGAGGTTCTAGGCAAAGGCGTGGAGGAGTAACAGCCCTTCCCCACTCCTCTCCTCCACACCATTCACTCTCCCCTGGCGTTGGGGTGGCCCAGTGTGCAAGTGGATAGGAGTCAGAGAACAGCAGTGCTCGATAGGGAGAGGCCCACTGTGCTGGTCTTGGGTTTCAGACCTTTGGCCTGTAGGTACTGGGGAGCCATAGAAGGTTGTGGAGCAAGGTTGAGGATGTGGTGAGATCTGTTCCAGAAGGATCACTGCCAGTGACCAGCTGTGGGAGGGCAGGTGACTGGTAGATGAGGGCTCATGGCAGTGGTCATCAATGGGGGCTACAACTACATGTGGAAGGCAGGAGGTGGTTACAAGAGAATCGGCAAGGTCAGGACCGATTAGATCTGAGGGATGATGGGGAGGGAGCCATGGAGAACAGCTGAGTGGGTGATTCCTTCCTTCATTCAGCACGGATGTATTGGGTACCTGCTGTGTGCCCGAACCTGGTGGGAGAAAAGAGGCACTGAGGACATTTATAATCTGGCAGGTGGGGACAGGCAAGCCGAGCTGGAAGACAGAGCCGCCGGGAAGGTGGTGGCTTTAGGGCCTGATTGTTAACGAGACCCTGGACCTATTCTGATCTGAAGGGGACAAGTGCTTCTAGGAGAAGGAACAGCCAGGGCGGAGGCCCTGTGGCTGCAGGAGTGGTTTTGGAAAGTGAGAGAGGTAGCCAGGGGGCAGGATTGTTGGGACAGGTGGGTCCGGTGGAGGCAGAGGGGAAGAGGTCAGATGATCTGGGCCTGGGGACACTGGAAGGACGTTGGCCTTGCCTGAGAGAGTAGAGGCGAATTGGTGTGCTCTGAAATGCACATCTGCATAGCAGAACCAGTTCTTCTCACCCCAGTTTACAGATAGAAAACCTGAGGCCGCGGTGGTGATGTCGTTGGTCCAAAATCACACAGCTGCAAATGGCAGAGCTGGCACCAGGGTCCAGGCAGAGAGACTCCCGAGCCGGAGCTGCCGAGGCCACCAAACAAAATATTTCACTAGTCAAGGGGCAGGCGGCTGGGGTGGGATCCCTTCAGCAGGGCTCGGCCCAGGCACCGGGAACCCAGAGCCCGATGGTGGCCACCTCCTGCCGCCGTGGGGAATGGATCCCAAGGCCCGCCTCACTGCCACCACCCCCGATCCCCCAGAGTCCTAGAACATTCAGGGTTGTGTCCCGGGGTGGTGCTGTTCCAACTCAGCTCTCAGCACAAGGGTGTTGTAAACCCACCAGGCAGGGTATGTGGCACAGCTGTGACACAGGACACCAGCATTAGGCCCAGGAGAGCACAGCAGTGCTTTGCTGGGACCAGCTGCGATCACTCCCAGATGAAAGTGGGAAGTGAACGATGGGAACTGCAGGTGGTACCTGTTTCTCCCTGAGAATCTCAAGCCTTTGATAGTGTTGAGAGCCCTCAGCTGGGTCAGCCCTCCCTGAATAAAGGCCGTTGTCTTTCCTTGGAAAATAGCACCAAAGAGGTCTTCATGGGTAATGTGTGACCAGGTCCTCTCCAGCCACAACAGACTGTTTCTGCTGGTGGGAGGTGCCTTCAGTAACTGCTCACCCCTCCTTCTTGTCTCTGCAATAGGTCTATGAGATCTTGAAGAGAACGACGTGTACCAAGGCCAAGTACAGCATGGGTAAGCATGTTTTTGGGGCTTGAGATCAGCGTTGGTCTCCAAGTGGGAATCTCGCCTCCGAGTCATCTCTGTGGGAGGCGGGCAGCCGGCTTGGGGCGTTTAAGAGGGTTTTGATTTAAGCCTGTGTAACAGTTTCAGACAGGAGGGCTGGGTTGGGAGCGTGCAGGGCGGTTTTATGGCCCAGCACTTTTAAACACAAACGCATCCTTCATTTTGGCCTGAGCGGTTTGTGAGCTGTGTGGACAGACTCTCCCTGCAGGGGCGGTAAATCCAGGCTGGAAATAGACCAGCGTTAGGGGTGACTGGGGGTTCCTGGCCCTCTCTTAACCCTCACGGTCCCGTGGGAAGTAATCGGGGTTCCAGCCAGGGGACATCTCCGTGCGGTGTTCCAGACCCTTAAAAGCTCACCAGGGCTTGCTGAAAGCAGGGCCCCTGACGAGGCACCACCAGGTACAGACAGCCTGATTCCAGAAGCTGCCACAAAACCATCCTGACCAGGCTCCCTGGGTACCGGTTTCCAGAACCCCTTAAGCCATAGATACAAAATCTTCCTGATTAAATTGTGTAGCTGAGAACCTCCCCTGTCAGTAGGTCCCTCGCCCACAGCTGCAGGCAATTTGTGAAAGCCAAAACATTGGAGAGCAAAGGAATGCCTTTTCCGGCCTCTCCTCCCCTCCTTCCTGAGCTGTCTTTTGCCCTGCTGAGAGCCATGCCATAGGGTAGCATCCATCACTCTGTAGAAGCCTCTGAAATGACAAGGCCATGGCTCCCTGGGGACACAGCAGGTCTGGTGAGAGCTGGAGTCTGTGCATACGGGAGGGACCATCTTGCTGCCTTGGCTTCCTGTGGTGGCAGGAATGCCGTGGGAAGTAAAATGGAGAGCAGTGGGAGTCAACGGCTCAGAACTTGAATTCCTGGGGTCAGGCCCGGGAGACAGAAAGAAGACGAACCCTTGACTGCTCGGGTGGCTGCTTGACCCCCGACCGTATGGCCTGTGGTCACTCACAGGGATACCCTTGCAGGCCCGAAGTCTCTAAGTCCATGTCCTAAGTCAAGGGGAGTGTGGAGGAGTCCCATCCAGGGTCAAAAGGACTGAGATCCTCTAGAGTGGCCAAACCCTAGTCCACACGACTGCAGTGAGGTCAGGCAGAAAAGAAGGTGACATCGGGAGTTTGGGTTTTTGAAATTGCTCCTCTAGGTCGCTGCTGCCAGGGCACAGCCTTGGAAAGGTCACTAGAGGTAAGGAGGAGGTGTGGTTCTGGTCCCAGGGCTAGGTCTTGGACCTCAGTTTCCCCCCGGGTCTCTGCAGCGTTCCTTCCAGTAGAAACGTGTATGGTTGCAGTAGAAGTCCAGCAGCTTCGGGCTGCATGGCCCAGGCTGGCTCTCTGCCCGGGTTGGTCCCTGGGGACACGGGGTCTCTGTGCTCCCACCGGTTTTGTGGCAGGGCTGGTTCCCTGCACCTGGTGACAGGGCGGATAGACGTGGGTCCCCCTCTTCAGCCCTGCTTCACCACGGCACCTTGTCTGAGAGTTGACCCACCTCTGAGTTCATCCTCAAGTACGTCACCCACCAAGCTGTGTACCATAGTCTTGCAGGATGAGCAGGGTGGGGCTAGCTGGGGGATTTAGGAACTGTGATGAGAGAAGGCCTTGCAGATAGAGGGAGTGGCACGTGCAAAGGCCCTGTGGCAGGCAGCACCAGGCTAGCAGCATTCCAGCAACAGGAAGGAGGCCAGCGAGCCTGGATCAGGTCCCATGTCCACTTTCTATTGCAGACAAACTTTTCACTCACACATGTGACTTAAGCCCCTTCCTCTGGTTTTGATTTCTAAGCATCCCTCAGGTCCCCTGATCATTCCAGGTCACTGACCACAGAGATGGCCCATTTTCGAGGGGACTCCAGGAGGTCATTTTCCCACCGCTATCAGGTGGAGTCTCAGAGGGTGGGCCGCCCAGGCTGCTGTGAAAAACGCTCTTACTGCCTAGGAAGCCTCTTCAGCCAAGCAGGGGGTTCCATGAGCAGCAAAGGGTCCCATGGAAACGCCCCCACCCGGCTGGACCCCCACGATGTGTTTGGAGCAAGATCAGATTTCCAGGAAACCCTTTCCTACGCATGGCCCTGGCTCTCCCGTCCTCTCTCGCAGTCTCCTGGGGCTGGGTGCCTGCATGCACACATGTTAGGACACACAGGCGTGGTGTTTTATAATGTGCCCATGGTGTTTTTATAATGTGCCCCCCAGGGCCACATAAAAAGGGGCCCTGCCAGCGTTCCACTGCCTCCAGGAGCACTGGCCGGCTGTGAGTCCGCCAGAATCGCTGGCCACCTGCGCTTGCTGCCCCAAATGTAGCTTTGGTCCTGTCAGGCCTTTCCACATCACTAATAGCCAATGTATAAACAGGGCAAGGCGAGGGAAGAAAGAAGGACTCCGCCCTTCTAAGTAAAAGGCGGAAATGTGGGAAGTATGGTAAGTGTGGGCCTCCTCCGGTTTTCCCAATCAATCTAAAATCTAATTCCGAATTGTATGTGTGTTTTCTGACACCATCAATTTCTCCATCCGTATATTTCCTCATGATTCAGCTTCTCTAACCGCTTACATCCCACCTTCCCCATCTGCAGGCTTGCCTCGGACAGGTGGGGGGGCTGGTGAATCGGAGGCTTGGGGTGACAGTGAAGCCACGGTCCGCTCACACCGCCTGCCTCTGAGATGGAGTCGCCTCTTGGGGTTTTCTCTGTGTCTTCCTAATTCTGCCAATCGAGCATGTGCTCCGTCATCTCCTAGTTGATAGATCAATAACCCGGCTGTGCCCTGTCGTTCCTGGGGAAGGAATCCCAGAGGTGGCGGGCTCTGTGTAGTCAGGTTCATTTCATTTTGAGAAGCTCTTGGTGGCTGAGACGGCCCTGTGACTGCTGTGACTTTACAATGTGAAGCGGGAGACCCGCCTGTCCCGTAACCTTCTCTCTGCCTCTGTTTTTAAGGCATCACGAGCCTGCTGGCCAATGGCGTGTACGCAGCTGCATACCCACTGCACGATGTAAGTAACCTGAACACACGATTTATCTCTGCGTCATTTGACTCCCCAAATCCCTCCGGGCCACACCCCCCAGGGAGCTGTAATTATCCTGTGGTCACAGCTTCCTGCTTGGCTCTCGCTGTAAATGTCAACTGTACACAGGCCTTCCCTGTTCCCCGGGTGGGGACCAAGAATTTACACACAGGGCCATCTTTTCTTGCAGAACAATCCCAACAAAACGGGGGCACGGGTGGCAGGTGCTCTGCCTTGACATCCTCTGAACCTCACAGCCAGCGGGTCCACAGAATGTCTTCCCTGGCCCGGGCTCCCCTACCCCTGGCTGGTCCGGGTCTCTGGCAGAATGACCAGGGCTCTGTACGTGTCTATTTCTGCAGAGCAAGTGGCCAACTTCCTGAGCTGAAGCTCCAGATCCCACTAGTATTCCCTTGACAAGTATAGCTGACTTGGGGCGGAGAGAGAGAGGTTGTCTTCTTGTTGTCTCTATGGAAACAGGGACTTAAGTTCACAAGGGCACTGGGAATGGGCCTCGGGGCCTGAGCAGTGTGGGAATCCCGGACAGAGGAGCTCTGAAACTTTGCAAATGTGCAAAGGCCAGGAGCCAAGAAGCAGGAGAGAAGGGACAGGCCTGGGTCTAAGGAGACCCAGATTCCAGTCCCAGCCACTTACCCACTCCTCCGCCTTGAGTGGTGGAGTCAGCCCCTTGTCTCACTGAGCCTCAGTGTCCCCATCTGTGGGTCAGGAATCAGAACTTGTCCTAACTCCTCTTTTATTTATTTATTTATTTATTTATGTTTTTTTTTGTTTTTTTTTTGAGACGGAGTCTTGCTCTGTCACCCAGGCTGGAGTTCAATGGCATGATCTCAGCTCACTGCAACCTCTACCTCCTGGGTTCAAGCAATTCTCCAGCCTCAGCCTCCCAACTAGCTGGGACTACAGGTGCACACCACTACACCCAGCTAATATTTTGTATTTTTAGTAGAGACACGGTTTCACCATGTTGGCCAGGCTGGTCTCAAACTCCTGACCTTAAGCGATCCGCCCACCTCAGCCTCCCAAAGTGCTGGGATTACAGGTGTGAGCCCCTGCGCCCAGCCTAATTCCTCTCTTCTTGAGGAAGAAACACTGGATTAGACAAATGTAAGGTGCAGGGATCCCACAGGGCAATCCAGAGGTGTCTTCTCCAGAGGGTTGACCCCAAGGGAAGGAGTCTGGGCAGATCTGCCATCCGTCACCTCGTGGCCTCCCTGTCAGGGCCTCCTCCTCCCTGTAGGTCCGGGGATTGGGGTGTTTGAGCAGCCCCGTTTCCTCCCTTTGTGTGTTCACACATGCTGTTCCTTCTACAGTACTCTTCCCCGCCCCGCCCCACCCCAGGCAGACAGAAGCTCCCACACCAAGCCTTCCTGCTGCCTTCCTCCCCAGGACTAGTGGCTTCTTCCTCCCTTCTCTGGGCCTCGGATGGTCCCTGACCTGCACAGACACCGCCGTCTGACCACCTTTAGTTATGTGTGTCGTCTCAAGGAAGCCCCAGCGCTCAGCACTTAATAGGTGCTCAGTAAACGTGGTGTGGATTCGGATTGGATGGAGTCAGTTTGCCTCGGCCAGTGACCTGTCTGAGGAGATTCCAAGGGCAGGGCTCAAGCCCCTAGACCGTGGCAGTGGCTCCGGGTTCCTGCCCGGAAGCCCTGAGTCTGGAGGAGCCCACTCCTCCCCTCTGTCAGGCTTTCCTCCAGAGGACCCAGCCGGTCTGGCTGTTCTGCTCCACCCTGTGCAGGCTCTGGCTGGGTGCCAGGAAGACAGCCCTGCCTGGCACAGCCCATGATCCCAAGAAGGCAGCCTAGAGCTACATCCATGTTCCCGATTGACCTTTAAGCAGGTAATCCCTGCTGAGAGGTTGAGGTACGGAAGCCAAAATGTTTCCGGCCCTTCCTGCCTGTTTTGAGTCAGCCCTTTAAGTCTTAAAAGGGAAAGGGGAGAAATGAACATAGTTAATCTCCTACTGTGTGCAGAGCCCTCTGTTTAGGAGGAACTGTACCTCATATAACCTGTGCAGACGCAGAGACTCAGAGAGGTTTAGTAACTTGCCTGAGGTTGAACAGCCCCTGTGGAGGAGCTGGGGCCAAAAGCCGTCCCTAGTGACACTCTGCAACTCCAGCGCCTCACTGCGTACCCACCTCATTCTGTCACAGAGGCCAAATGCATCCCTCTTCTTGGCGGCCACTTCTGCATTTGTCTTAGGGATTGACTGTCAACAGTTTAAACTGACTGGTGCAAACCTCCCTCATCAGCTGGATCTATTTCTTGTCAGAGAGCCAGCCTCACAAGAAGCATCTCCAAGATCCTTGCAGCGAATCTCCTCTTTCAAAATCTTCATCGTGCCTTATGCAGTCATGTGGGGTCTGTTCCCACTTTAAAGATGGAGAAACAGGCTGGAGGGGCTCCGGCCACTTGCCCAGGGGTGCACAGTCCAGAAGGAGTGGGACCCAGAAGCCCTGGGCTGTGGGTGTCAGGTATCTTTAGGGAATCTAGAATTTTACAGCCACAGATTTTCCATACAACTGAAGGGCACCCATGCTGCTAAGTACCACAGCTGATGTTTAAGCATTTGCGGAGGTGACTGGTTCTGGCCTGACTTGCGTGCACCCATGTCCTTACCCAGAACACTGACTGAAGGGAAGTTCAGGCTGGCCTCGGCGGCCATGGTGAGGCTCTCACTGCATGCTATGTAGTTTTGGCTTTACATTTTTACTTCCATCTTCCTCACCATGAAGCTGTCCTGCATCCTACCCCATTCCAATCCTGTGCTTATTGCATCCATCCATCCATCCATCCATCCATTCATTCATTCATTCATTCATTCATTCATTTGTCAAAAATATCTGGTCGGTTGGGCACAGTGACTCATGCCTGTAATCACAGCACTTCGGGAGGCTGAGACGGGTGGATCACCTGAGGTCAGGAGGTCGAAACCAGCCTGGCCAGCATAGCAAAACCTCATCTCTACTAAAAACACAAAAATTAGCTGGGCATGGTGGCACATGCCTGTAATCCCAGCTACTTAGGAGGCTGAGGCAGGAGAATTGCTTGAACCCGGGAGGCAGAGGTTGCAGTGAGCCAAGATTGTGCCGCTGCATTCCACTCTGGGAGACAGAGCAAAACTCCATCTCAGAAAAAAAAAAAAGAGTATCTGGTAAATGCCATTGCCAACCAGATAACAACCTGGTAGAACTGTGTGTGGGTAAGAGCCACGCGCTCCAGGCGAGACCCTGAGGAAGTCTCCTGGAATCAGAGTGTATCACCTGAACTGAAAGGACTTTGATATTTATGTCGGCTACTTGGTGACTTTTTGGCTTTCCTCCTGACTAACATCTCCCTGCCTGAGGTCCCCAGCGTAGGGACCTCCATATAAATGAGACGCTGCTGGGATCGTGTGGCTGTCTCATCCACGTAAAGAGACTGGGAAACACTAAAAGGAATCAGGCTTGGGTGGGTGAGGACCCCCTGAAGACTTAGGAGGAAATTGGTTAAACTGCTCTCAGAGCATCTTGGTTCCAAGACCACCTGCACTGGGTCGCTTGCTTGAGTGTGTGGTCAAGTTGTCCCCACCTGGCAGGGGTTAGAGGAGTCATGGAAGTTGCTGGTGAGTGCAGAGGGCACTGGACAGACCCCCAAGAGTCCCATAGCTTTGTCTGCCTGGATATTCTTAAAACTCGTTGGCCAGGCCAGGTGCAGTGGCTCACACCTGTAATCCCAGCACTTTGGGAGGCCGAGGCGGGCGGATCACTTGAGGTCAGGAGTTTGAGACCAGCCTGGCCAACACGGTGAAACCCTGTTTCTACTAAACATACAAAAATTAGCTGGGTGTGGTGGTAGTCCCAGCTACTTGGGAGACTGAGGCAGGAGAATCACTTGAACCCAGAAGCAAATGTTGCAGTGAGCCGAGATCACGCCACTGTACTCCAGCCTGAGCGATAAGACTGAAAGGAAGTTCAGGCTGGCCTCGGCGGCCATGGTGAGGCTCTCACTGCATGCTATGTAGTTTCAGCTTTACATTTTTACTTCCATCTTCCTCACCGTGAAGCTGTCCTGCATCCTACCCCATTCCAATCCTGTGCTTATTGCATCCATTCATTCATTCATTCATTCGTCAAAAATATCTGGTTGATTGGGCATGGTGGCTCATGCCTATAATCTCGGAAAAAAAAAAAAAAAACCATTAGCCAGGCCAGGCCAGCCATGCCCTGAACCTCGACAGAGCCACTCCCTTGCTGCTCCTCCCCAGTAACTTATGTCAACTGTAGTTATCTGGGGCTCACTGAATGACAGTTCAGTATCATTTTGAGTGTTTGCGAGGGTAACGTGCACACAGCCATAGGCAGTCTAGACCCATGATGTCCCAAGACGGGCTTTCAACCCTTACACCTTTCTCTTCCTTTAGGTTTGAAGGTCTGGATCCAAGTCAGGGTCTGACCAATCTTAGCTGTGTGTCCTCAGAAATGTCAGTTTGCTTCTCGGAGCCTCAGTGTTTCCATCTGTAAAATGGGAGTGTTGGACTCACTGATCTAGACGACAGTGGCCATGTCATTTACTGTCCCTCTTGGGATGCTCCACAGTGAAAGGGAGCAAGACACGGACTGTCCCAGCAGAGTGGGACGTATGCACACCCTATGACAGGACTCTTCCTGCCTCCGAAAGACCCCTTTCTTTTTTTTTTTTTTGAGACGGAGTCTCGCTCTGTCGCCCAGGCTGGAGTGCAGTGGCGCAACCTCGGCTCACGAAAGCCCGCTTTCATTTGTGTTTCTGGTTCCAAGGACCTGACCGTGGATCCTCTCCTAGAGTCCCCTCGTGTCGAGGGAAGAGGCCGCTCAGGCCGTCCTGGAGGCCAACAGGGACTGGCATGGCCTTTCTATCGGAACAGGGGGCACACCCGGGCAACCCTCCCGCTCTCTGTGAAATGTTTTCCCAGGATGATCTAATTTGTGTCAACGAGGGCTGCTGGGGTTTGTGTTTTGAAACATTATGGATGTGAGTGCCTCCAAAGCGCCACCGGATGATAAGAAAGTCCCTTTCCTCTTTTTTAACAGGGAGACTACGAGGGTGAAAACGTGGAGTTCAACGACAGAAAAGTAAGTTGATGGAGCGGAGCAGGAGGCGGCTCTGTTGAGGCTGCAGGTATTCTGGGGCGGGGGTGGGTCTGCAGCTGGACCGAGGACTCGCTGGCCTCCAGGGCCTCCCCAGGGCGCTCGCTGCAGGGGGCTGAGCAGCGGGTGTCCCCTCTCGCCGTTTCAGGAGAAAAGTCCCTGAGCTTTGTGTGGCTGGTTTGTTTTCCTCTTTCTGATTCTCAAAAGTGCCCTCGGCAGGTGGCTGTGAGCATGGGAAAGGGAAAGCCGTCCTCCCGGAGCCCACTCCTCACACGCTGTCCTTCCCTTATCTTCTCAGGACAATCTGAACTGTGCCTGGGCCTCCAGCAGTCCTTGCTGGCACGTGGCCTGATCCCACAGGGCTCCCAGGCAAATAAACTTGGGAACCACTGAGACCAGGTGCACAGAGAACAATGGCCCCCAGCAGCGCGTTGGGGAAACCTGTTTGATGGTGGTCAGTGAAGCATTTCTCAAATTTACCTCACCTGGAACCCTTTTAAATGGATAAGTTGTCGAGTTAGTGTTCCAGGGAACACACTTTGGGAAACACTGGGTGACCCCTTTATTCTTTTTTTTGGTGGGGGGATGGAGTCTCACTCTGTCACCCAGGCTGGAGTACAATGGCACAATCTCGGCTCTCTGCAGCCTCTGCCTCCTGGTTCAAGTGATTCTCCTGCCTCAGCCTCCAGAGTAGCTGGGATTACAGGTGCCTGCCAGCACACCCGGCTAATTTTTGTATTTTTAGTAGAGACAGGCTTTCGCCATGTTGGCCAGGCTGGTCTTGAACTCCTGGTCTCAAGTGATCCACCCGCCTCAGCCTCCCAAAGTGCTGGAATTACAAGCGTGAGTCACCGCACCCAGCCAGCCCCTTTATTCTTTAGTGGCTGTTGCTAATCCCTCACTCCCCAAAGCGTCGGTCCCCACCCTCTGCCCCTCGCTCTGAGCATGGGAACTCCACCCTTCCCACCCAGGCTCCCCAGGAAGCTCTGCTCCTCTACCATGCCCCCCAAAAGAACATGTCCCCACCACAGCCATTTGCTCTTCCCTTCTCCCCCATGGGTCCACACCCGATACCAGCCTTCCCCCCAGGTCTCCACGTCAGCCTCTGTTCCCCAAACGTGCCCAGCCTTCCCTCCCGGGAAGCAGTCCTTCCTAGACCTTGCCTCAACTGCTGGTCCTTCCGCAGGTGGTGGGTAGAGATGCTTCCCTGACAACCTCACAATAGTGGCCTTGTCCCAATTCCCAGGGGCCAGGACCTCTGTGTATGGAACGTTCCTCCTTTCAGCCTCCCCCCACAGGCCCCCATACATGTTTTTAAATCTTTGGTACTTGATACAGCTTGCCTGCCCGGGAGTCCAGATGAAGATGCTATCTAACTTAGCACAAAAATTACATATTTGGTTATTTTTAGTGTAACATCTGGCATCGTCTGAGACCCCATGACTTGCAGAACTCCCCACCCCAATCCTGTTGGAAAAGGAACATCCCCTCCACAGGCCTGTCCTGACCAATTCCAGCCTCAGAGTCCAGCCCCCTTCATTCCTCTGCACCCCTCTGGCGCTTAGCAGATGCCTATCCTCCCCCTAAAGATGCTTTTTCCATGGACACCAGCAGTTCCTTTCTGGCTGAATTCAGTTCTCTGGGTCACAGGCCCCTGAACCCTACCCCCTCCTCCCCCTCCTCCATTCTCAAGCCACACTGGCTGCTTTTCTAATCTCAGGATTGCTTGGCTGATGGTCACATGAGTGCCAGGACTAGCTCATTCAGTTAGTTATTCATTCAAGAAATATTTACTGTGCACTACTGTGTGCCAGGCCCAGCAAACACAATGTGGGTTTGTCCAGGCCCAGCTGTTTACCTGGAATGCTTCCCACTCCCCATTTAATTTTAGGTCCTAGCAGTGGATACAATGCCTGGCCCATGGGGGTAGTCAGGGAGTAATGAATGACAGTTTGGTGGATGAGTGGATTAAGGGATGATAAATGGATGGATAGAGATGGAGATGGATAAGTGTATAATGGATAAATGGATGGAGGGAGGGATGGATGGATGGATGGATGGATGGATAAATTACGGATGGGCGAAAGGGTGGATGGATGAATAGATGATTGATGGGCGGGTGGGTGGACGAATGGATGGTGGAGAGATGAATGACGGTTGATAGATGAGTGGGTGGGTGGATGGGTGAATGGGTGGATAGACAGATGGATGGTTGATGGATGGGTAGGTGTGTGGGTGGATGGATGGATGGGTGCTGAAGGAATGAATGATGGATGATGAGTGGGTGGGTGGATGGGCAGCTGATGGAAGGATGAATGATGGATGATAGGTGGGTGAGCAGATAGGTGGATGGATGGATGCTGGAGGGATGAATAATCAATGATGGATGGATGGATGATAGGTAGGTGGGTGAATGGGTAGATGGGTGGATGGATGCTGGAAGAATGAATGATGGATGATGGGTGGGTGGATGGATGATGGAAGGATGAAGGATGGATGAAGGGTGGGTGGATGAATGATGGATGGATGGTTGGATGGATGATAGGTGGGTGGGTAGGTGAATGGATGGATTCCTGAGGGATGAATAATTAATATGGATGGATGTATGGCCATTGGAAGGATGAATGATGGATGTTGGAGGAACGAATGATGGATGATGGGTGTGTGGGTGGGTGGGTGGATGGATGGATGGATGGATAAATGGATGGATGAGTCCTGGAGGAATTAATGATGGATGATGGGTGGATGGAAGGATGAATGATAGATGATGGGTTGGTGGGTGGGTAGGTGAATGGATGGATACCGGAGGGATGAATAATTAATGATTTTTGGATGGGTGGCTGATGGAAGGATGAATGATGGATGCTGGAGGAATAAATGATGGCTGATGGATGGATGGATGGATCGATGGATGGATGGATGGATGGATGGATGGATGGATGGATGGACGGGTGCTGGAGGAATGAATGATGGAGGATGGATGGATGGATGGATGAATGGATGGATGGACGGGCGCTGGAGGAATGAATGGTGGATGATGGGTGAATGGTGGATGATGGAATGATGAATGATGGATGATGGGTGGGTGGATGGGTAGGTAAATAGATAGATGCCAGGGGGATGAATAATTAATGATGGATGATGGGTGGGTAGATAGATGATGGATAGATGGGTGGATGGATGATGGGTGGACGGGTAGGTGAATAGATGGATGCCAGAGGGATGAATAATTAATGATGGATGGATGATGGAGGGATGAATGATGGATGCTGGAGGAATGAATGATGGATGATGGGTAGGTAGATGGATGATGGAAAGAAGAAAAGGAGGGAGGATTAGATGGGTGTTTGGGTCCTGACTCAGAGCTGTGGGGAACTCTGCATTCTGCCGCGATGGCTCCACATCACAGCCTGGCGCTGAGTTTTTGCCTTTCCAGTGACAGACCCCATGCCTTCTCCATTATTGTTCCCATCAGTGGCAGGAGCCCCGCGTGCCTGACCCTGGGTACCTCACAGGGCAGAAAGGAAATTGCAGCCAAGGACATTTTCCTGTGCTGAGCTGGAGGGTGGGCAGAAGAGAGTGTAGGGAAGTTTAAGCAGGAGGCAGGTCTGGGCCACGGCAGGGCAGCCATCACTCTTGGTCTGATCATGGGACCACAAACACGTAGGAGTACTTGAGAGTGAGCGCCTTCCTCCAGGATCTTGGGCGAGTTCACACCCAACAGAACTAAACCCCGGGTGAGCAAGACACACCCCCAGAGCTGTCTTTGGATATGCAGAAGGTATTCTGCTGAGCAGCTGCTGCCTCCTCCTGCCAAGGCACTGGAAGAATAGGACCACCTGGGCCCTGTGGGGGAGCGGGGTGGCTTGGGTTGTGGGGGATTGACTCCAGGTGTGGACTGAGGTCTGCTGCATCCCTGGTCTGGACTGGGAGCCACAGAGCCCAACATGTCATTCATCCATCCATTTATCCATTCATTCAACAGTCACTTACTGAAAACCCACAGGCCCTGTTGGAGGCATGGAGGGTGAGAAGGACCAGACAAACCTGGTCCCTCTGGTGCCTCTGTTCTAGAGGCAAAGGCAAGGGGCAAAGATGTACACCAATTAAAGACTGCATCCATGTCACCAAGGGCCGGCGGCAGCCGTGTGAGTCCTGGCAGGGGGTTTCGACAAGAGAGACACCTGAGGGTTTTTGGGATCCCTCCAGGGTCCGGATGCTGGAAGGCTCCCAGGTCACAGTGACTGAAGCCACCTGGCTGGCCTGGTTCTCCAGTCCACAGCCCCCATGCCTGGACACCCCACCGCCCGCTCACCGGGGCTAAGGTGCCACCTTGGAGTCCTTCCAGCACTAACAGTGGAGTCTTTAGTTGGATTTCTTTGCCTTGACGGTGCAGAGTGATTGATGTCACCTCTTGGCAGGAAGAAAAGTCCACCGAGGTCAAGTGGTTTATGTAGAAAGCTGGGGGTGGGCCCCCTCCACGTGTCTGTCAGAAGATGGTGGGAACCACTGAGGGCGGGTCCTTCCTCCCCCGGTGCAGAACTGTGTCCTTTCTCCCTGTCCCTGTCTCGTTCCCTCCCTTCTTCTGTCCCCATCTCCCTCCCTCACCTCTCTCTCCATCTCTCTATCTCTGTCTCTCCATCTGCCTCTGTCTCTCTCTCCCTCTCCTCCACCTCTCTTTATCTCTCTCCCTGCATCCCTTCTTCTCTCTGTCACTGTCTCTCCATCTGTCTCTGTCTCTCTCCCTCGCCCCCACCTTTCTCTTGTCTCTGTCTCAGTCTCTCTCCCTCTTTTCCTCCCTCCCCCTTCTCTCTCTCTCTGTCTCTGTCTCTGCATCTGTCTCTGTCTCTCTCTCCTTCTCCCCTACCTCTCTCTGCCTCTCCCTCTGCCTCCTTCCTTCTCTCTCTGTCTCTCTCTCCCTCTCCCCACCTCTCTCTGTCTCTCTCCCTGCCTCTCTTCTTCTCTCTGTCTCTCCATCTGTCTCTGTCTCTGTCTTTCTCTCCCTCTCCCCCACCTCTCTCTGTCTCTGTCTCTCCATCTGTCTCTGTCTCTTTCCCTCTCCCCTACCTTTCTCTGTCTCTCTCCCTGCTTCTCTCCTTCTGTTTCTGTCTCTCCATCTGCCTCTGTCTCTCTCTCCCTCTCCCCTACCTCTCTCTGTCTCTGTCTCTCCATCTGTCTCTGTATCTCTCTCCCTCCCCCCTACTTCTCTCTGTCTCTCTCCCTGCCTCCCTCCTTCTCTCTCTGTCTCTCCATCTGTCTCTGTCTCTCCCTCTTCCTCCCTCTGTCTCTCTGTCCCCTCCCTCCCTCCTCCTCCCTCTCTGCCGCATCTTCCACCTATCTATGGCATAAATCAGCGGCTTGACTCTAGGTGAGGGGAGGAAGCTGCCCAGGTCAGCGATGGCTGCTTTGCTTTTGCAGAGGTGCAGCTCTGCTTCATCAAGGCTTGCTGGCCGAGGCCTGCCTATGTACACAGTGAAACTGTGGCCTTTTCATCGTTATCTGCCTAAGAAAACACACTGATGCAGAACCACCCTGTACCTTCTGCACATCACGAACTCACAGGAGCCCATCTGCCTTCTCTCCGTGCCCTGGGAGGAGAGATCTCATCCTTCAGTGTAAAGGAGGAGACAGGGATGGGGGAAGGGGTCTGCCCAGGACTCTGGATTCGGGGGTGGGGGAACCTGCCCAGGGCCGCAGACAAGTCACAAGCCCCTCCATAGCCATGCTCAGCTGCAGGTGAGGCTGGTGGCTTCGAGGCGCTGTGCAGCAGCAGACGGCCCCTCTGTGGATTTCAGAAACACGCCCTCCACCTGTGACTTTGGGTGGGGGCAGCTGTGGGTACGCCTGCGCTGTTTCCCCTCCCTGTTTGTCAGTGGGGGGCTCTCTATAGTGCACAACCCCAGTGTTACCCCAGACGAGACACTCAGGCACGCGAGGCTATGTCAGCTGTGGAGACGGCTCACACTCACTTCCCGCCCTCCAGACACTGGGAGGAGTTACGGAGGCTCCAAGGGGTTCCCTCGTCCCCCAGCTGTGATCTTGACTCTGAGTTTGGGAGGCAGCTTGACCCCAGAATGGGCTCTGAACTGAGGAGGAGGGCAGCTGCCCTGCCTCTGGCTGCTGGTGGGCAGCTGCTCTGCCCCGGGACAGCCTCTGGGCCCCTCGCAGCACCTGCATCCTGCCTTCCCTGAGTGTGGCCCTGTCGCTGGGCTTTGAGTTGAGGTCTGTAAAGCGTTAACCACCCACACGCGTGGGTTTATTTTTTTTATTTTTTTACCAGCAGTCCTAACCCGGCATCTTCCTCAGGACATCCTCTGCATGTTCACACAAGGCTTCCAATCCACCAAACTCATTACCGTCCCTGCCCAAAGCCTGGGGGGGTAACAGGGTGTGTGTGTCAATTTCATTTATTTCACGAAGCACCGTTAATCAGACAGCCCATCTCAGGAGATAAACCTCGGGTATCTTTGCATCCCGTGAGAGTTTTTAAAATTTCGCCACTGGTATTTCTCTGCTCAAAACCCTGGTGGTTTTGTGCCCTTTGTAAAGAATGGTTTGGTGTCTGATGGGGACGACCAAAAACCCTAAAGGTGAGAAGCCGTACAGCGTCCGGCCCATTTAGGTCAATTCCAGGTCAAATCACGAAGAGTTCACATTCCATAACCTGCCAGAAGCTTCTTTTCCATCCCCACGTTCACCTACAAAGGGAGGCCCGCTCTTGCTCGCACACAGCTCAGTCTCAGGAAGTGTTTGTGGGATGAATGAATCATGCCACGGAGGCTCAGTCCCCACTGCTGCGTTCCAAGGAGCAACCTCAGGGTGCCACATGGTCACCAACCCCACTGCTTCCTCCCCCTCAGCTCCTGTACGAAGAGTGGGCGTGTTACGGGGTCTTCTATAAGTACCAGCCCATCGACCTGGTCAGGTAAGAACGCGCCACAGCCTGCGGGAATCCAGTCCCTAGTCCGACGGCAGTTGGATAACGTCCGCCAACGTCCCTGCGGGTTTCTACCACTCTGAATATTCAGTGCCTGGGAACGTGTTTGAACTCGAAGAGCTTGTGTAGGAAGACCCAAAATGTCCCTGCAGGGCTGAGAGCCTGGGCCAGCATTGGTTGAAGCAACTTATTCAAATTCCGTGGAGGGTGGGCCCTTTTTTGTCACATTTACCATCTCCTAAATTCACTGCCGGGCCTGGCCTCACTGGGCGGCTGGAGGGGTTTCCCGCTTTGAGATGTGGAGGGGAAGGAAAGAGCTGCCTCTGATGTGTAAGGATTTCTCCTCTCCCAAGAGGATCTCTGTCCCCACAGGGCAGGAAGGAGGGGCGGACCAGGTTAGGTAACCTGCCCACCAGAGCTCGGCTGGTAGAAATCCATTCAAGCCATCAAGGTGCCAACCACACTTAACATGAGGAGCAACTGGGTTTCTTGGAACCTCCTGGCCGAGGTGCTTTCCAGTCCTTACGCTGAACAGGGCTTGGAATGGAGCCCACAGCCTCAGGGGAAGTACACCCACACCCACCGGCGTGGGCCATCACACACAGAAACGCACCCACCTTCCCGGGGCACCACAGAGAAGGGGGGGCCAGGCATGGTTGCTCACACCTGTAATCCCGGCACTTTGGGAGGCTGAGGCAGGTGGATTACTTGAGGTCAGGAGTTCAAGACCAGCCTGGCCAATATGGTGAAACCCTGTCTCTATTCAAAATACAAAAGTTAGCTGGCAGTGGTGGTGCATGCCTGTAATCCCAGCTACTAGGGAGGCTGAGGCAGGAGAATAGCTTGAACCTGGGAGGCGGAGGTTGCAGTGAGCCGAGATCGCGCCACTGCACTCCAGCCTGGGTGACAGGGCAAGACTCCATCTCAAAAACAAATAAATAAAGAAATGCAATGGGTGTGATGGCGGGCACCTGTAATCCCAGCTACTCGGGAGGCTGAGGCAAGAGAATCTCTTGGACCCAAGAGGCAGAGGTTGCAGTGAGTCCAGATCGTGCCACTGTACTCCAGCCTGGGCAACAGGAGCAAAACTCCATTTCAAAAAAAAAAAAAAAAAAAGAGAAGAGGGGAGGGCTTCATAAAAGCAGAGAGCACCCCCAACCTGATGGGGTGGCCCAGGACCCCACTTTCTGCTTCTCAGATGAGAGAACCAGTGTCCCCGGTTTGAGTTGCTCCTTGCTGGGGAGGGCCCGGGGCATGTTTCCCTGCTACTATTGAATGACAGTGGGCTTGACTCTGCTCTGCTCCCCTGGTGTAGGAAGTACTTTGGGGAGAAGATTGGCCTGTACTTCGCCTGGCTGGGCGTGTACACCCAGATGCTCATCCCTGCCTCCATCGTGGGAATCATTGTCTTCCTGTACGGATGTGCCACCGTGGACGAAAACATCCCCAGGTAGGCGGCAGCCCCCCCACCACCCCGCAGCACACACCAGGGAGCCCTCTCCTGCCATCCCAGCTGCACGATTCATTGGGACACTGGCCTGTCACTCCAATTCCTGTACACATGAAACCTCACGCCAAGCCACGAGCCGTCAGGAGGAAAGGACATGGTTCGAAGCCGTCTAGGAGTCTGGGTGCCCTTCTCAGGCCCATCTGTGCTAGGCTATGTTTTATTGTTAAGAGAAAGGCATAAAACAAACATCTGACCATTTTCATTCTTTGAAGGTTGTTATGGTTTACTCGTTCCTTTTCACTGTTGGTCATTATGTGACAAGAAAGTTCTCTTGTGTGCCCGGGAGGTGAGACATGGATGCCAGAGGCCTCGGCGCAGGCTGGTGCTCGTGGGAGGTGAAACTTGGATGCTAGCGGCCTCAGTGCAGGCTGGCACTTGCAGGAGGTGAGACAAGAATGCTAGAGGCCTTGGTGCAGGCTGGCGCTTGCGGGAGGTGAGACGTGAACACTAGTGGCCTCAGTGCAGGCTGGCACTTGCAGGAGGTGAGACATGAATGGTAGAGGCCTTGGTGCAGGCTGGCACTCACGGGAGATGAGACGTAAACGCTAGAGGCCTTGGTGCAGGCTGGCACACTTGCAGGAGGTGAGACGTGAACGCTAGAGGCCTTGGTGCGGGCTGGCACTCGTGGGAAGTGAGACATGAATGCCAGAGGCCTCAGTGCAGGCTGGTGCTCCCAGGAGGTGAGACATGAACACTAGTGGCCTCGGTGCAGGCTGGCGCTTGCAGGAGGTGAGACATGAATGCCAGAGGCCTCAGTGCAGGCTGGTGCTCCCAGGAGGTGAGACATGAACACTAGTGGCCTCGTTGCAGGCTGGCGCTTGCAGGAGGTGAGACATGAATGCCAGAGGCCTCAGTGCAGGCTGGCACTTGTGGGCTGTACAGTAGGTTCCACCTGCCCAGCTTCCTAAGGCTACCTGCAGCCCCGGGAAATCCTGCAGGAACTGTTCCATCAGGGAGGATTGCATCCCACAGCATAGGCAGGCGTCTGAATGTAGATCCGACGTGCCTTCTGCTGTTCATCCAGGGTATGTCAGACGTCAGGGAGCTCAGAAAAGAAGGCCCAGACCTGAGACAGCTGAGCCTCACTCAGAGGCCCAGCTCCCCCAGGTGACTCCAGAACAAGAGTCCAGTTTTGCCTGGTGCGGTGGCACATGCCTGTAATCCCAACACGTTGGGAGGCTAAGGTTGGAGGATCCCTTGAGCCCGGGAGGTCGAGGCCACAGTGAGCCATGGTCTCACCACTGCACTACAGCCTGGGGAGACAGAGTGAGGCCCTATGGCCAAAAAAAAAAAAAAAACAAGAGTCAGGTTTTGAGAAGCTCAGCCTCACTGCGCAGAGCCCCTCTGGTGCTTTTGTAGCTGTTTCTTAGATCTCCTGACACGAACCTAAGGACAATTCCAGGCTCCCAACCTCTGGTCGGGTCTCTACGTCGACAGGCGGCGCCTTCAGTGTGCAAATTGCTCCACCAAGAAATTGACTGTCAAGGGAGATTTGGGCTGGCCCTGCCCTGCAGGGGCTCAAAGTCTCAGAAAAGTCCAAAATGTTAGTCTGGTTATTTTTCAAACCACTCCTGCCAAGTATCTCTAAAGCAGAGCTATAGTTTGGAAAATGTATCAACTGAGCCTGTCTGTAAAGACGCCATCAGTCTTAGCTAGGAAAGAAACTGGCTCTTAGCAGCACAAAAAGACCATATCTGGTCAATTTGTGTTTAAATGATGTTTTGATACATGAATAACACCTAAAATATTCCACCCACCCGGAATCAAAGCTCTGAGGAATCTGGCTTCTCTCCCCTTCGGTGCTATTTGGTCCTAGGCAGGAGAAAGGGTGTCCCTTTGTGAATATGATACGAGGTCCTGGGTACTTGGGTTTGGTTGTGGTAAAGATCAAGGTAGCCCAGATTTGGTGGGGAGTGTAAGGCTGGCTTTAGGCTAAGAGCTCAAAGCCAGAGGGAAATGGTGAGTGCAAGGTGGGGATTCTCCCCATGACGTCCTGGAGGAAGCCTGGGGGACCTCCATCTTCCTTCCTTCCTGCCTTTGGAGGGTGGCCTCAGCAGGGAGGCTCTGTCAGCCCAGGGGTTGGCCATGCCAGCTCGGCCCTTCCACCACATGGTCAGACATGCAAACAGCAGTTACTCAGGATTCAACCACTGTGGGCGGAGACGAGGCCAAAGCCAAGACCCCTGCCCAGTAGGTGACCTGGAGCGAAGTGGGAGGTGCGGGAGGTGTGTGCTTCCTGCAGCTTCCGCCCCATCCCCACCAAGCTTGCAGGGAAGCCGGTGCTCAGCGTGGAGCCGCCTGCCGCCCTTGCACCTCCGGTCCTCCCTGAAGAAGAGAGCTTCCTGCTCTTTGTATTTTGGCTAAAGGCGGTGAAGTGAGAGGCGGAGGGGGATTTAAAACCATCAGAAAAAGGCTTCTTGTTGGGCTGATGGTGTTTGTGCTAGAAGCTGAGGGGAGCAGGAAGGAGAGCCCAGGAGAGCCGTAAGGCTCACGGGCAGGCCGTTGGCATACACCTTGGCCCTCCCTGTCCCCAATCCTACCGCCGGCGACTCCAGGCCACCCTCAGGCCACATGCTGGCGATGACAGGGGAGGCCTTCTACATGCCTGTTCTCTGGGAGAGGAGCTCATCACGTTGTGCCCAACTGGGGACGTCCTGCCCCCACCCCCCAACACTCTGCTTTCCTCTGCCCTCGAGAGGCCCTCAGAAGAGAGGAGGCTGAGTGAGGGGCACAAGATAAACCCCGAAAGGCCGGCTCCTGGCTTAGGTTTAGAACTCACTGCTGCTGCAAGGCACTTGGCTATTGCATGACGATGACAACAGCATTGATGACCACATGATGGCTGAGGCGTGCCAGGCACTGTTCCAAGGGCCACACTCGTACTGGTTGTTGGTTGTTTAATCCTCCTGACAACCTATTAACACGGCTTCTCTTCACTATCAGCTACCCCATTCTGCAGCCGGGAAAACTAAGGCCACATGGACCACAAAATGCAAGAGCTGAGATACAAACCTAGAGCTAGCTAACCACAGAGTGCAGGTTCTCCCACCACCTGTGTGCGCCTGCCCTGCCCACCCCCCCGACCCCTGCTCCCATGCGCACACGCGCGCGCACACACACACACACACACTTCCTCCCTGCTTCAGGCCATGGCCATGGCTTCAGTGAATCGTTCTTAACCTACCCATCTTTTGAGCCTGGAACATGCAGTACCTACACCACTCTGTCACCCAGGCTGGAGTGCAGTGGTGCGATCTTGGCTCACTGCAACCTCCACCTCCCAGGTTCAAGCGATTCTCCTGCCTCAGCCTCCCGAGTAGCTGGGATTACAGGCACCCACCACCACGCCCGGATACTTCTTGTATTTTTAGTAGAGACGGGGTTTCACCGTGTTGGCCAGGCTGATCTCAAACTCCTGACCTGGAGTGATCTGCCCGCCTGGGCCTCCCAGTGCTGGGATTACAGGTGTAAGCCACCGTGCCTGACCCTACACCACTTTTTAATAAATGTTTAGGGACAGTACCCGAAGGAAGAGAATTGAACCAGAATGCCCATGATGCTGGGCACGGAGGAGGCCCCCGAGCCTTGCAGGGGACGTTTATGAAGTACCAGCGACTGTGGACCAGGCATGATTCTGTGCCTTAGTTCGGTGTATCCAGAAAGTCAAAAAACAAACGCCCTCTTCAGCGTCCTCCCGGATAACCCTCTGGCCCAGCCAGCCAGGGTGTGTGTTTAGAGCCCAGAACCTTGTCCAAGGCAGCAGAAAGGAGAAAGTTCAAAGCGGGCCAGAGCGGGAAGGACCTTATTCTGACCCCTCCTCGTTTTCCAGAAAGAAAAACTGGATCTGAGGCTGAAGGACTTGGCCAGGGTCACAGAGGGTTTGAGTAGCCAACTGAGGGCCCAGTTCAGGCCACCCATCTTCCGCAGGGAGCCCCCACGGCCCTTGAGCAGTAGAGGAGAGCTGTGCAGTGCTCGGGCTTTGAAGACAGAGACCAGGATTCCATTCTCACTCTGCCGTGTGGCCCTGAACAAGTTACTTCCCCTCTCTGGGCTGTGGGATTGCAATGGTCCCCAGTGCTGGTCCAGGCGAGGTGGAACATCTGTGCCGGCCAATAATGAGGCTCCTGCTCGCGCCGCCGATAGGCTGGAAGTATTGGTATTTTCTAATATTAGTGGGAGTGAGTCAGTGCTGGGGACGAGGCACAGAGATGGGTCTCGGGCATCACGAAGATCCTTTCTCCTGGCCGCAGTGGTTGAGATCTGGTCCCTGGCTTGCCTGTGCTCAGCAAAGCAGCTGCCTGCACTGAGCAGGACCATCGTCCCCGCCAGAGCCCCCTTGCTTCCCGAGTGAGCCTACAGGGTGGGCCTCTGCTGCGCCAGGCAGCTGGGGACCTATTCCTCCCGGCCCAGCCCCTAGTCTGCCAGAGAGGAGTCCTGGGGTCCCCGTTTCTCTACCTCACGTGTCCAGAGCACCCAGGCCATGTCCAAGGCAGCCGCCCCACCAGGCGGATGGAGATGCTGTGTGAACCGCACGTAGACGGTGCCTGGCACAGACCAAGGACCCTTGCCATCTCACTGTTTTCCAGGACCTTATAACATAAAGACCTGGCTAGCATTTGCTATTGGCACAAGGCTTGCTGATTAGATGGGGGCAGGCTGGGGACTCTGCCTCTCCTAGAAGTGGCTGGAGGACAGGCTGCAGAGGCTTCTGCCTCAGGGTCACCCCAGGGGTGAATGTTCTGGGGCCCATCTACCACAAAACAGGCCTGGGTGAGTCCACCTCCAGGGCCGGCAACAGAGGTTGCAGGGCTCCATACAAGAGGAAAATACAGGTCCCTAGTTCAAAAATCATTGTGTGTGTGTGTGTGTGTGTGTGTGTATGGTGTATGTGTGTGTGTGTGTATACTCTGTGTGTGTGTGTATGGTGTATGTGTGTTTGTGTGTGTGTGTGTGTATGTGTATCTGTGTGTGTGTATCTGTGTGTGTATGGTGTATCTGTGTGTGTATGGTGTATGTGTGTGTATGGTGTATGTGTGTATGTGTATGTGTGTATGTGTATCTGTGTGTTTATGGTGTATGTGTGTTTGTGTGTGTGTATGTGTATCTGTATCTGTGTGTGTGTATCTGTGTATGGTGTGTGTGTGTATCTGTATGTGTATGTGTGTATGCTGTGTGTGTGTGTATCTGTGTGTGTATGGTGTATGTGTGTATGTGTATGTGTGTATGCTGTGTGTGTGTGTGTATATGTGTGTATGGTGTATGTGTGTATGTGTATGTGTGTATGCTGTGTGTGTGTGTGTATATGTGTATGGTGTGTGTGTGTATGTGTGTATGTGTATGTGTATGTGTGTATGCTGTGTGTGTGTGTGTGTATGTGTATGGTGTATGTGTGTATGTGTGTATGTGTGTGTGTATGGTGTGTGTGTGTGTGTGTGTGTGTGTGTGTGTGTGTGTATGTGTTGAGATGGAGTCTCGCTCTGTTACCCAGGCTGGAGTGCAGTGACATGATCTCGACTCACTGCAACCTCTGCCTCCAGGGTTCAAGTGATTCTTCTGCCTCAGCCTCCCAAGTATCGGGGATTACAGGCACGCGCCACCACGCCCAGCTAATTTTTGTATTTTTAGTAGAGACGGGGGTTTCACCATATTGGCCAGGCTGGTCTCGAACCCCTGACCTCAGGTGATCCGCCCGTCTTGGCCTTCCAAAGTACTGGGATTACAGGCGTGAGCCACAGCATCCGGCCCATTGTGTGTTTTAAGACAGCAACAGGGGAGCGTTAAACCAAGCATGAGGCCCTGCTGAGCTCAGGGCCAGTGCAACAGCATGGGTCACACGCCTGTGAAGCTGCCCTGGATGACAAGGAGGGACAGGGCATGGCTAAGTACCCGGTCTATGTCCACCACGGCAGGGACCTGGGGGACCCTCGCCAACCCCCAGCTCGGGCCAAGCGCTTTCTCCCAGGCCAGCTCGCCACCCAGGAGGCTCTCCATCCACGCAGCCTGGCAAGGCGATTCCAGGGCTGCCTCTTTCTTGCAGCATGGAGATGTGTGACCAGAGACAAAATATCACCATGTGCCCACTTTGCGACAAGACCTGCAGCTACTGGAAGATGAGCTCAGCCTGCGCCACGGCCCGCGCCAGCCACCTCTTCGACAACCCCGCCACCGTCTTCTTCTCTGTCTTCATGGCCCTCTGGGGTAAGCAGAGCTCCAGCGCACTGGGTTTTTGGGCGGTGGTGAGTCTGAGTGGCACCTACGCTGCTTCTGTCTGTCTTGGTGAAATCATCCTCAGGCAGGGGTTGTCAGGAAAAAACATAGGAGATGACCCCCGTTTTATGTTCAGGTTACTGGGGTCCGCACTGCATCGGGAGAGACACACAGGTTCTCCTGACCCTGCCCAGAGCCCCTTAGGAAAAGCCTAGCAGGGACGTTTTGCTCTGAGAAATCCTGACACCAAGGTGTGTTGGCCTGGGAAGGGCAGCTGATTTAGTGCAGGGAGGCCCGAGGGTCCTGCCTCCATCCCTGCTGCTGCTGGTGACCACCACACCCTGAAGGAAAGCTGACCTGGGCCAGGTCCCGGAGGCACCATCTCTCACTAGAGCCTGCAGCGTCCCTGCAGGCTTCATACACCCGTTTACGGATAAGGAGGCAAAGGCCTAAGAGAGTTGGGAATCGCCAGGGGTCACTCAGCTCCTGATTGCCACTGGGCTGCACTGCCACCCAAATCTAGGGCACTGGGCTCCTCCAGGAAGATTCCCTAACCCCAGTCCTACCCGACACCCATCTTCAGCTTTTGGGGCTTGGGAGGTTGGGAAGTGGTGGCTGAATGCATTTCTACAGAGGTTTTGGGGGAGCAAGCAGGGCCATTCTGTCCTCCGCAGCCCCATGTCACAGCCTGTGCCAGCTGGGCTTCAAGATGCCCACAGTAGGCAGCCTGTGCTGAGCCTGGCCCCATGCCGGGCAGTTAAGCCCCCATCCTTACCTGTGAGCTCCCACCTTGTAGGAGATGGGGCAGAGACGGCACAGGAGGGAATTCTGGAAGAGGTATGAGGCCCTTCAGCTGAGTTGACATGGGTGTGGGGGAGGGAGCATTTGTGGCAGAGAGACCAGGTGTAGAACAGAGGGGTCTCTTGGTCCCACCTCGCATCCCTGCTTGAGACAGGCTCCCAGGGCCAGAATAGCGCCACCTCACCTGCAGCTCCACATGCTTGGCACTGCCCTGTGTGCTCCGTGGGCAGGCAAGGGGCAAACGCAGACTGAAAAGGCAATTGTGAGGACGGAGGCCAGCCAGGTGCGGGGCTCTGTGCGGCCCTCACCCGCCAGCGTGCTGATCCTGGAGATCAGACCTAGGATTCA